GAATGGTTTGTTAAAACGTTCCCAAAATATACTAATAAACGGGGAAGCCAATATAACAAAAAAGGAATTCCAAAGCGATTTATTGGCCAAATTTCGAAAAGCAACCCATATAAGGATAATTACTATTAAAAAAACATTAAAACGATATTAAAACGCATTTTCGAAATACAAACAAAAAACGATTTTGTTTAAAGCGGTATTTGGAAAAACAAACCCAACGTTTAGGAAATTAACAACGGTTTGCTTAAGCATAAAAAAAAAGTTTAAATTCCAAATTTAATACCGTTTAAACGAACAATGCTTTAAAAACAATACGATAGCCCAACGGGGGGTTATAAAGGCATGGCCAAAACTTTAAAAAAGTTTAAACGGCAATTTAAATGGCCGGGTATGGCTAAAAACGTACGCAAATACGTACGAACGTATTAAGTATGCTAGTAAACGAAGCCAAAAACATAAGCACCTTACGGGTTGTTAGCATTTTTGCCCGTACCAAATTGCCCGGGACAAAAGTTATCGATGGATTTTATTAAAAAAAATTTAACGTTAATAAATAAAACCGGCAAAAAGCGCGACGCAATATTGGTAATAATTAACCAATTTACCAAATATAGCTTTTTTATTCCAACGTTTACGAAATTAACCAATAAAAAATTAAAAAGCTTTTTATTTGCATACGTTTAAAAGCTATTAAAAACGCCCGAAAAAATTGTATTAAACCGAAATAAATTATTTATAAACGGGTTTTGAATAACTTTCGCCGGACATTTAAAGGTCGTAAAAAAATTGTCGATAGCATATTACTTTTAAACCGACGGGCAAACGGAACGAACGAACCAAGCAATAAAGCATTACTTCCGGTGCTTTTGCTGCGAAAAGCAAAACGATTAAGCGTTGCTATTGCATTTAATAGCGTAAATGCATAATACGAGCGTGCATTTGGGGTTGCAAAAAAACCCCGGCGTTTTTGCTAATAAGGTTTTACTTACAAAGGCTTTATAACCTTTGGGTGGTTAAAAAAAAACCTTTAGTAACGGTTAAAATTAAAGCGGGGGCTTTGGAAGCAATTAAAAAGCAAGCCAAAAAATTGCTAAAAAAAGCGAATAATACGTACAAAAAGTACTATAATAAAGGCAGGACCCCGGTGCCTTTCGGGGTAGGCGATTGGGTATTGCTAAATACGGCGAACATTAAAATAAAAAGGCCGTCGAAAAAGCTATTAAATAAATGGTTGGGACCTTTCCAGGTCCTAAAAATGGTTAGGTTAGCCGGTTTGGCGTTTCGGTTAAAGCTTTCGGTAAATTACCGAATACACGACGTATTTCCGGCAAATTTGTTGCAAGCGTTTAAAAAAAGGCCCGGCGAAAAATTAAAAAATAAAAAACCAAAAATTAAAAAAAAAAAAGGATCGTTTTAAAGTAAAGGCTTTGTTAAAATATAAAGGGCTTTTGCGAAAACGAAAATACCTAATTAAATAAATAAATTATAACGAATTGGAAAATTTGTAAATTCCAAAAAAGGATATTACGAAAAAAATTGTTTAAGCGTATAAAGCAAATTTATTGGAAGCAAATTTATAAAATAAGGAAAATACCAAACCTTAGCGGGTAAATACCCGGAAAGGACGGGGGTATTATAGGAAAAAAGTAATAAAGGCTAAAGGAATGGCCCAAAAAAATGTTTTAACGTGCCAAACCGGTTGGCTACCGGGAAAAAACGTAAAAAAACCCGTAAGCGGTTTGTAATAGCCGTAAAATATCGTACTTTATAAATAAAAAGTTAAATAAAAACGGTATAGTACGGGGAACGCCCTAAATTAATAATGCAATATATTTAAATTTTAAAGGACATGCAAAATGTAGCACATTTTGGAAAGCCCGTAAAAGGCATGCTTAGCGCGATACGCTAAAGCAATTACCGCACTTTAAACGTACGTTGTAATAAAAAATACCATTATTTGCCCAAAAAGGAAATAAAAAACCTTTAAATGGTACGGCGGACGGGCTTAAGCGTTTGGGTAACGGCAAATGCATATCGGCGGTATTTAAACCCATTAAAGGGCAAAAAAAAACATTTTAAAATTATTTATTAAAGCATTAAAATTTAATTGGTAATTAAAAATATTGGGATTTTGCAATGTTGCAAAAATAATATAACGAAAGGAAATTATAATTTTAATTGTAATAAATTAACGAAAAAAATTTAAAATTAATTACCTTTCGAAAAGGGGATATTAATAATTAATTAGGAAAATATATAAAAAAAATTAATTAAATGCCGTATTTAAAAAAATTAAAACTTCCGGAAACCACGTTTTTTTCGTTAGCGCTACAATTATTGCCGCTAAAATTGTTAGCGCCGAAAGCGGTACTTTCCGGCGCCAATACGGACGCCGCACCTTTACGGGAAGCCGCGCGGTTATAAATTTAAATATTTAAATACGCCGTAATCGTAGCAAAATTAGCGGCAATGCCATTAAAAAAAGCAATTATACCTTTTTTAAAACGCTTAAAAAATGCTTTTATTTCGTTAAAGGAATTACCGATGCTAACCGAAGCTTAAGCTTGCCTTTTCGTTTAAACGGCAATAACGTAAAGCTATTGGGAAATGTTTTAAATAGCTTTTAATATTGCAGCGCTAGCAATTTTGCGTTAAATGCGTTTTTAAATAACGGTTTAACGTTTGTAACGCGCAAATTATTCGGCCAATATAGTATAAAAGGATTTAACTTTTTGGATAACTTTGCGGGCGCAAAATTAAATTTTGGTAAGCTTTTCGAAAAGTTTCGGTATTGCTTTAAACAATTGCTTATAAACGGTATTTAAAATTTTGTAAAGGTTTTGGGCCATTTTTTTAAAACCATTTAAAAAGCTTAACGCAAGCTTTATTATTAACTACGTTATTGCAATAAATACATTTAAAAAACCCCGTATAATTATCGAAACATATTGGCATACGGAAGTTAACGGCATAATTTTAATATACTTAATAACCAAAATAACGGCCATAAAATACCGTACGTTCCGTATAATTGTTTTTAAAAAAAGGCAAATAAATAAAATTTTAATTATTGCTTTATTGGAAATCGATAACCTTTTGCAACGGAAGCGCGTTGCAAATACTTATATAAAGCGAAAAAAAAGCAATGTCCGTTTCGAAAGCAAATTTATTAAAGTTAAAAACGTTGCGGCGGCGTTCGTTGCGCGTTTTACGCTTTTTTTTGGCGGAAATTTTTTTGCCGCAACGGTTAAAGCCCGCCGGGGGGTTACCGGCAAAACGTTTGCGGGAATTTTAAAAGGTTGCAAGCGCAAAAAGGCCCAATGGACCCGTAACATTTAAAAAGCTTACCAAAGGGTTACCGGCAAAGCGATCGTTAAGGATTTAAAGGATTAAAGGTTTTGGCAAAACCGAATTCGAATTCAATTAAACCATAATAGTTAGGGAAAATACCGGGGGGTTGTTAAAAAGGGCTAACGGGCCGGTTAAAATCGAAAAACCTAAAGCGGATACCCAAAAAAACATTACTTTTTTTACGTAATTGGGTACGAAAAATAATATTTGTAGCTACCGGTTAAGTCCAAGTATTTAAAAGGAACGGTTAAATACCAATTACTTACGGTTACAATCGTTAAAATTGTTAAAATGGTTATTAAATGCACAAAAAAGAAAAAAAAAGGTTTGTAATTTCGAGCGGGAAAAAAAGCCTTTTATATACCGGTACGGATTTATTTTTCCAAATGCTATAAAATTTTATAACCGATTTTTTTAAGCGTTACCAAGCATTAAAGCGGTTTAACGGGATACCGTAAGCTACCGGTTACTTACGGGGTCGTACGCGCGGCATAAACGGCTTGGAATAAGCCGTATTAAAAAAGGGCAATATATTAAAAGCACGGGCAAAACCGCCCGGCAAAAAACGGGAAGCGTTAAATGCACGGGCGAAACCGCCCGGCAAAAAAAAAAAAGGGAGCGCTAGCAATTAGCCGGGCAAGGACCCCCCGGAAACATGCCGGCAAATTACCGGTATTGCGGCTAAAATATAATAACGAAATTAAAAAATAAGGTAAAGCTTAAATTGTACGAAAGCGTTTGGAGCGCGAAGGATTTAAAGGACCAATTTTAAATGCCCGAAAGGGTACAAAGGAAGGGAAGGTTAAAAAAGGAACAATTTTTGTTGGCGATAGCACTTTTGGTAGGAAATTTACGGAGGTTTGACAAAGGAAACACCGCATCCGGCCCGTAACCCGGTAACCACCCGCTTTTGCACCGATTAACCCTTAATACAATTGCGCGTTTTTTTCGTAAGTAAAAATCCTGTACATGGAGTTACATTAATAATTAAAAAGGCACGAACACAAGCGTGCATAAAAAGCGCGCTACAATTTACGCGTTACAATTCCAAGTAGCACATTACAATCCGGGTTTTATTTGTAAAGTTCAAATAACCGAATTAGCAATATTTTATTTTACTATAAGGTTTATTCGTTAATTATTAAGTTTTACCTTTTTTAGCCAGGGCGTATTCCTTTTATTTTTTGGGCCAAACGCGCTTTTTCGAAAGCGATCCTTTCCTTTTTTTTTAATCGGTACCATTATTTTATCGGCCGACTTTATTATTGGAATTGCTTTCGTCGCTATTGGTACCTTTATTTTTCGCCGCAACCCCGGCGCTATTATTTCGATAGCTTATCGGATTTATTTTGGCCCGAAGTCCTTATTTTTTTGCTTGTTTTATAATTTGTACGTTTACAAGCTGCACGTGCCTTTCGCTTTTAGCACGTGCGTTATAAGGCTTAAAGGTAAGGAACCCCGCTAACGGGTTGCAAATGGCTTCGTTAAAATCGAAAGGAAGTTGCACGTAAGTGCTATAAGGTTCGTCGATAAGGGTAAAGTTTTTTATTGCTATAGGTCGCTTCGTTATGGGGACCAACTATTTGGAAAAACGTTGGAACGGTTCGGGGCAATTAAATCGCTTTGCACGTGCGAAATAAAAAACCCCGTGTTCCCGGCAGGATTCGAACCTGCATTTTCCAAAAAGGACTTCCTAGCGCTAAACCATTGCGCCACGAGGACTATTTCCGGTAATAATAAAAAATTTATCGTTAATTGTAAATGCTATTGCTTTTTTAGCTTTTATTGCTTGGGGTATTTTAAAAGCGGTTTGCGCTTTTGCGGTTATTTAAGCCCAAATTTATTTTTTACTTTTTCCGTTTGCAATTGCAATTTATTGCGTTTGGTCCTTTTTTTTAATATAATTTTAATTTATTTAAAAAATTAAAAAATCGTTTAAATTGCGTTAAGGTTAATTGCTAAAGTTATTAAAATTGCGGTTATTTGGTTAATTATTTTAACGTATTAAACAAATTCCGCAATAATTTTAACGGCCGTAATTTTTTTTATTTTATTAAGCAATTGGAAGTATTTTTTTGCAAATTGCATTGTTGCAATAATTAATTAGGTTTTTTTCGGGCTTGCGGTTGGTTTTTGTCGTAATTGTTGCTGGTTTGGGTAATTCCCGTTGCGTATTGCGTATTTCGATTGGTTAAAGCCAATGGCCTTTTTTATTAACGCCGCAACGGCGCTTCGGGGTATTATCGAACCCGTTTAGCTTTTAAGCAAACTGGCGTTTCCGGTTTTCGTAATGGCTTTAGTTTTTCTGTATGTCGTCGTTATTGTTGCGCGCAAGCAGAAAACGTTTTTTTTTTTTTTTCCAATTTTTATATTAATAAAATCGTTAATAACTTTAACTTAAAAAATAAAAGCGTAAAGCGTATTTTATTACCTAGCTAAATGTTTAAAAAAAATTCGGGGGTAGCAATATTTGCCGAAGTTTTAGCCATGCAAAAAAAAATTGGGTCGATATTATATATAGCCATTACTATACGCCCAAACGTTGCTTTTGCAAGCGCGGAACTTTCCAAACATTTAACAAACCCAAACGAAAAGCATTTAAAAGCGGCAAACCATGTTTTGCGGTATTTAAAAAGGTTAAAATTTTATTGCATTAAATTAAAAAACGTTCCGAAATTAAAATATTTGCTTTTTGTTTTAAACGCTTTTTTTGCTAACGATACGAAAACCAAAAAGTTATTTAAAGGATACGTTATGTTTTTTTGGAAAACCTGTAGCGTAAAAAGCGGGGAAATAAGTTACCGTTATTACGTCCATTACAAAAGCAAAGCTTTTATTGCTTATAAAGCTTAAAAAAAAGTTATCGCTATGCAAAAGCTTTTCCAAAATTTGCGCTTAAAAATTAATATTTTTTGGAAGCTATGTTGTAATAATATATAAACGATCCGATTGGTAATTAAAAAAAGCGCACGCATTAATACGGTTTTAAAATACGTAAATATTATAAATATGTAGCTACGCCAAAAATACCGAAAAGGAACGTTTAACGTGGTATATTTCAAAACCACCCGTATGCCAGCAAACGGGCTTACCAAAAATTTCCTATTTTACAAATTCGAAACGTTTAAAGCAATTTTAAAATTGCACGATTTTTTTATAAACAAATTTGCAAGCATAAAACGCAATTACAAATTTTGGAATAAAAACCAAAAACGTATAACGTTTGCATAAATGCATAACGCAAATTTTATTCCCATTAATAAGCTTAAAGCACGCCGGTTTTAAATAATAAAACGGTATTTAATTATAACGAATGCAATTTTTAAAAGCGCTGCACCTTTTTTTTGTCCATTTTTCCTTTTTACCTTAGCTTTAGCTTTTACCCATTATTTGGTGGATAAAAGCATTTTTATAAAAGGAATAACCCCAAGCTATTGCGGTTTTAATGCTATTTTTTTAACCTTTTTCGTTATTATTACCATTTTTTTTAAGGTTAAGCTACAAAAAGTAAAATTATTTCGACAAAAAGCCTTTTTATTCCATTTTTTAACTTTATCCTTTTGCTTGCTGCCCGGTTTTGGATAAAGTTCGAAAAAATGGCTTACCATTTTTTTAAACTTTTTAATTTTAAAGCAAAAGCTATCCAAAAGCTTTTTTTTGGAATCAAGCAATCGCAATGCGCAATTAGGGCAAAAAAAGGAAAAAGTTGCAACGGTAATTGCTTTAAATATATTGTATATACCGTAAAATATAACCATTCCGAAAGTAACGCGTTATGGGTTTATTGCTACAAAAGCCCCGGAACTTTATTAAAGAGCTTTTAATGCACCCGTTGTATAAAACCGCGCGGGGAATGGTATTTTCGGAAGCGTTAACTAAAACGTTCCCGTTAAAAAAAAGTTAACGGTTTCGCTAAAAAAAAAGGATTAAATAGCTTTTTTTCGAAAATTAAAACGAAAAGGAAAGGGGTATATATAAATTTATTTACCCCTTTCGAATTGTATAGCCCATGGGGAACATTACGGATCGGGGTAGCTATTTAAAGGTAAAAACCGTGCTTCCAACCAATAGCTGTTTGGTATAAAGCCGGGTAAAAACTTTTTTTTTCAAAGTATTTTTTATTCCGCGTCGTTTTCGTAAGTAATTGTTTGTAAAGTGTTTTTCGCATTTCCAAACGTTTGGTAAAAAAAAAGTTATTATTGTTCGAAGCGAAATATTGTGGTTTGGTTAAAGGTTGGTTCGTTTGTTGCATTTAGGTTGCGTTATTAAATGCACGTTTTCGTACCAATTTAAAGCCTTCCCGTTGTTCCTTTTTTTTTGTTAACTTTAGCAAATGGGTTAATATATTGCGGCTTTTTCCGCTTTTTTTCTTTTTAATCTTTTACGCAATTCCACCAAAAAATATCACTAGCAATTGCAAAATAGCAATAGCAATAACCGTTGTAAATCCTTTTTTCTTGGTTTCCGTTACTTTGCAGCCCATTTAACGTTTAATCGTAAAACCGTACATTTTTAACGCTTCGTTAATATTCCGTTTTGGCTTCCCGCGGTTTGCAATTGCATTATAACGCCCAAAAAAAAAGGTGGTACGAAAAGGCTTGCTTTATTTCCTTTCGAAATAACGGGCAATTTTAAAAAGCGCAAAGCCCGTTGTTTGTATATGGTTTTTTTTACATTTTTGCAATTTCCCGCTAACCCATTCCAATGTTTTTAACGGCTTAACCAATTGCATTACGTGCATGCGCATAATAACCCGCAAAATTAATTTTAATAAAGTTTGTATGCAAAATTTTAATAAATCCTTTTCGTTGTTTTTTTTAATTTTATTTTTCCAAATATTTTGCTAATGAATTGCTTTGGTTTAAATTTTAAATTAAAAAAAATGTATATATTATTATTCGAAAAAAAAGGCTAGCAAAAACGGACAATGCATTTTTGCGCTAAAAAAAAGCGTTTCGGAATTGGGCTAACGTATGCTTAACGCTGCGGAAAAGCTTAAATCCGTAAATTTTGCTTTTATTGCTAATAATAACTTTACAAACCGCAAAAAGCATTACGCTTGGGCATTTAACTTTACGGGCAAAATAAAAGCTATAAATTTTTTTTTGCTTTGTTATATTTTTTACGTTCCCGGTACGTTATTAATATTTTAAATAAAATTGGAAAGCTTGGTTTTCCCAATACGAACGCCGCGTTTACGCCGAATTTAAAGCCGTTTGCGAAACGTATTCCCCGAACGATACCCCGGCCCCGGTAAAGCTTTCCCGTTATTTTGCGGAAAACCCCGGAATTAAAGCTTGCCGCAATATTATTATTGCTAACATTTTTATTAAAATGTTTTTCGTATTTAATATCGCTTTTAATTATTTCCAAGCTAAGCGTAACGGGCCTAGCAATTTTACGTTAATAAATTGCGTTAAAATTTATACGCAAAACGCTTAATTTCGTTGGAATATTTACGCCCAATTTTATAATAATATTACCGAATTTTTTAATTGCTATAATAAATATTTCGAAAAGGTTACCCCCGCCAATTTTGTGCAAGTTAATAACGGCAACGGTAACGGTAAAAATAATAAAATAACGAATAACTTTTTTTCGGTAATTGGTAATTCCGCGGTTAAGCTTAAAAAGGAAAATAATGCGGCTGGTTTTTAATTTATTAATAAATTTGGTTAAAGTAAGGTTGCGGGTCCAGCCGGGGTTATTGCGGCAGCAACGGGGGCGGTAAAAAGGGTATTGGCGGCGCCCGGGGTAACAATTAAAAAGGTAGCCGCTGCTGCATTCCTTCCCCCCTTTTAAGCGCTTTCCCGCAACTTTAACAAATCCAATTTCGGTTTTAAGGATAAAAGCAATAATATGGCCGTTTAAACGCTATATACCCGGCGGTTCGGATTTTTTATATTTGGGATTTTAAAAACAATTTGCGGCAACCCGCTTTTACGGGCGTAAATAAATTCCTGCTTTTTAGCGTTAAAATAAAAGGTTACGTTATTTTATTTATTGGTATATAGTATTGTTAATAATTAATAAAATCGTTAAAAGGTTTTTTCGACAAGGTTTAATATGGGTTTGGCTTTTTAAAGCTGGGGCGGTTAAACCTTTTGTTTTTTTTCCAAATTTGCCGCTTTATTGCGGCGTTTAACGTCCTTTTATCTTTTTTTTTCTTTTCCGCTTTTTCCGCTTACGTATTAATAATATCGTTCGATAAAGCGTAATTAAAAAACCGTTTTATTTTTATAAACCACTTTATAACGATTGCTGCTTCGTTTGGCTGGTTTAACAAAGATTTTGCCGCTTTTTTTATTGCTTAAAAAAGTTTTTTTTTGTTTTTGCAGGTTTGGGCAATGTAATAATACGTATGTTACCGTTTCCGGGTTTTAACCGCATTAATACGTTGCGGTTACGCCGGGAACTTTCCGGAAAGCTAAATAGCCTTAAAGCTTTAACCTTTCCGTTTTTAGCTAAACTAGCAACAAATTTTAAATTTTGTAAAAATTGCGGTAAAAATTTAGGATTTTTTCGTTGGGCTGCTTTTTATTAGCTTTAACGCTTTTTTTAATTGCTGTAACGTAATTATGCTACTTTTTTTTCCATTTTTTTAGCACCGCTATTTCCGGGTTTAATTTTCCAATCCAATTTAACGCTTTTTCCCGTTAATGGAATAGCCGCGTAATTGTAGCTATAAGCTTTCGTTTTTTATTTTTTAATTTTTGCTGCAC